TCAGGAGACCCAACCCTTCGTGAGGGCCTCGCTACCCATGTCTATACGGCCAATACCAGCATGAAGAAGAAAGCCTTTGTGAATTCTGATGGTGAATTCCTCATCATTCCTCAGCAGGGTGCCCTGGACATTCAAACCGAGTTTGGTCCCTTGTTTGTTCAGCCCGGAGAAATCGTGGTCATCCAGCGTGGTATTCGCTTCCGCGTTGAGCTTCCTGACGGCCCTTCTCGTGGGTATATCCTCGAAGTCTGGGGATCTTACTTTGAGCTACCAGAGCTGGGACCGCTCGGAGCAAATGGTTTGGCTAACGCTCGAGATTTCCTTACTCCCCATGCAAAGTATGAGATTTCTCAGGAGCCCTGGGAGATTATTTACAAGCTTGGAGGGAAATTCTTCAACAGCACGCAGAATCACAGTCCTTTTGATGTTGTTGCATGGCATGGTAACTATGTATGTTTAATTCCTTATGGTTTTCACTATACAAGGCGAAGCTAATACTACATCAATAGGTTCCATACAAGTATGACTTGACAAAATTCGTGAATGTCGGCTCAATCTCCGTCGATCATATCGATCCATCCATTTTCTGTGTACTCACAGCCAAATCTCGCGACCTCACGGCGCCTTTGGCCGATTTCCTCATCTTCTCTCCCCGGTGGGATGTAGCGTCTCGTAAGTGGTTCTTATCCACAGAAAATATGCCGTTGGTATGCTAACGAATCTAGACACTTACCGACCACCTTACTATCACCGCAACGCTGCCTCCGAACTAATGGGCCTCATCTATGGTGAATATGGTGGCCGCTCGGATGCCTTCAACCCCGGAAGCATTTCGTTTGAGTGTGGAAGTGAGTAGCGGTCGCGATATTTCTTTGCTTGCATAAGGTGCTAACTGTATGTCAGTGGTCCCTCATGGTGTAGCGTACGAGCAATTCAAGGCTGCCACGGAGAACCCACCACCTGTTATGCAGATTTCACCAGCATCGATCGCGTTCATGTTCGAGTCCAGTCGACCATTCACAATTACAGACTATGCCTGGAACAGCGAAAAAAGGCACGAGCATGAGCCTAAGATGTGGGATAATTTGGTGGACAATTTCTCCAAACATGCCAAAGAAGTTGAAGAGATTCTGGCAAAGAAGGCGCAAGGACTGCGAGTTTAGGTCTATATCGAAACGTTCATTAGCGCTCTACCTGTATCTAAAGTCTTTCTTGACTCGCAGTCTTTTACATAAACGCTTTTTTCATGAAAGGAATGCTCTGCGTTCGCCCCTTCTAATTCTTTCGGTCAACCAACGCGATTACTTTTCTCTTTTTACCAAAGTCTTTTTGAGATTGAGTCAAAAATGTCCCTCAAACGTGCTTGCCACGCTAAATGGTCTGCTTTTAGGGTTTGTGAATTAGACGATGCGTGAACTTTCGCCCATCCACAACTACACTTCCCACATGCTCCTCATCAGTTGCACGTAGTATGTCTAAACGAAGTCCATTATGATGCACTTCCAGCTGCGGCCAGCTGCGTTGTTTGAACGCAGCAGCGAGATCAGAGCGTCGGACTGATGACTTCAAAAAGATGTCAACATGCGATCATTCCTACAAAGGCGTCACCCATCCCCGTTCCTCTCAATGTACGCAGCATACTAATATCTTTTCATCTGCAGTATCGAAAATCCTTAGCGAGATGGATCCAGCACCCCGATACAACTTCAAAGACATCAATGTCCACGACCTCGAAGCAGCCACCCTCTTCGAGGTCAAGGGCTACGTGGCCGTCGTCACAGGAGCAGGCAACGGCGTCGGCCTCATGGCCGCGCAGACACTAGCAGCAAACGGCGCTCGAGTCTACATCATCAGTACCAGGGAGGAGATCCTCGACACGATTGGGGAGAAATATTCGTTCAACGGACAGATCACACCGTGCGTCACGTCCCTTCCCGTCCCATTCTCCACCTTCCCTGCTGACGAGGGTATACTGACTCCAGCCTCCCGGGAGATACATCCACGACAGACGGGATCCGCGGCATCGCAGCGGAACTCATCAAAGTCGAATCAAAAGGCATAAACATCCTCATCAACAGCGCAGGCGTCACCAGCGAGCCCCGCGCGAAAGCCACCTCCTCAGACATCGACTTCACAGACCCAGACGCCGTCTCGAGATGGATGACCCGCGACGGAGCGGACGCATGGCGCATCGCGTACGCCGGCAACGTCTGGTCGCACCATTTCCTCACTGCCGCGCTGCTGCCGCTGCTTGTGCAGGGAGCGAAGGCGGCACCGGGCCATTCGAGCGTTGTGCTGAATGTGGCGAGCGTGGCGGGTGTGACGAAGACGCATTCGCAGGGCCAGTTCGCCTATTCGTCGAGTAAGGCGGCGCTGATACATCTGACGAGGGAGTGGGCGCATACCTTTATGCCCTTGGGCGTTCGTGTGAATTGTATTGTGCCGGGCGTGTTCCCGAATGAGATTAGTATGGGCAGGTTTGATGAGGATCGGAGGTCTAGGCAGGAGGAAGAGCTAGGGAAGAAGTTTCCGGCTGGTGAGTCTTGCTTTATTGGAGTCGGTGGTTGTGCTTTGCGGGCTCGAGTGAGCTGATTGAGATAGGCCGCGTTGGACGGGAATCCGATATTGGCAGTGTCGTTCTTTACATCTGCAGCAAGGCTGGGACCTATGTTAACGGACAAATCGTCCATGTGGATGGAGGTGAGTACCATTTCGTTTCTTCCATACGGATCAGCTAAAGTCCTCCAGGTTTGCTTTTGAAATCTCCAGGAGCTATGTAAAGCATGGCAGACGAGGCCCTCAGAGATACTGATTACCCAACACTGATCGCAAATATAGAGCTCCTTGACCCCGGCAGAATTAATGGCCAGACACTAGAGGGAGAATGATAATATTCTTGCGAACGTCTTTTATTTTCATAATTGGTATCAACACGGCCTGAAATAAGGACATACAATTATTGTGACAAGCGGATCCTTTTCGTATGCTCCCAGCATCGCAGTAGCCCTCTCGAAGGGTCATAAGAAGCCCAACTTGTCAGTAGTGATGAAAAAATGTGTGTCTATTGGAATCACATCACAGGAAGTAATCGGGTGTACGTCTCGAGACCATTGGTTCTCCCGCGCGGGGGCAAGGATCAAATTGTAAGCTTTGAGACAATGTGTTAGTACGGATCAACAACAAAGATCGGACAGTCGCTTTTCAATGGAACATACAATGTGTATTTCAGATGCTCGTCAATTTCCATGATCGCGGCTTGGTTACCACAGCGGTAACAATAATTGGGGGCTGAAAAAGGCGCGTTAGTGGTGTGCATAGACACGAGCGGGAAAAAGGGGCCGTACCCGAAAAGATGGTGACCACATTTCTATCCTGCGACCAATTGTATCCCTCCATAACCAATTGATGTGCTCGTGCAACAAGAGTCAAGCCGTTGTTGTGATTGAATGCTTCCGAGATATCTTGCCCAAAGGTGTAACCAGCACCACGGGGAGAGATACCCCAGCCGCATCGGTCGTCGGGGTCACTCCAGAGCAGATCGCACATGGGCCCCTCGTGAGGAACTTCCTGGATCCGATCGAGAGAACGAATGTTGTCCAGAGTATCGATAGAGGGGCTCAGACCGCCGTGCAGGCAGAAGATCTGGTTCTCGATAAGAGCGGTGAGAGGAAGGTAGTCGAAAAGATCGGTAAAGTATTTCCAGACATTGGCATTGCCGTATTTGCGCAAGCACTCGTCGTAAAACCCATACACTTGTGTGATCTGGCGGGACTCGTGGTTTCCTCGGAGAATGGTGATTCGCTGGGGGTAACGGATTTTGAGGCAGACAAGAAGTGTGACGGTCTCTACAGAGTAGTAGCCACGGTCGACATAGTCACCTGGAGACGCAGACTGTTATGAGCCACGGAACAAGGAGACAAAAAGGATGAATCAAGGGTGAAATATCACATACCCATGAAGAGGTAGTTTGTGTCAGGGTTAGGACCTCCAATGCGGAATAGTTCCATTAGGTCGTGAAATTGACCATGTATATCACCACAGACAGTCACGGGGCATTTCTAAGAGAGTTTCAAGTCAACATCTCGAGCGATCCGCATTGATGACACGGTAAGAACAGGTCGAGGGAAGCACATACGACTGGCTGCACATTCGACTCTTCCTGCAACACTTCTCTAGCCTGGAACGCGCAAACCTCGATTAGATTTCATTATCATAGTGATGTCGCAGACAACACATATCAAGAAAGACGCACTCGATCACAAAGTCTCCGAACATCATCTTCCGCTAGTTGCTTGCATGCCATCAGGTTTTCAATCCACCCATCGAGCGTAGGTATGGACCCAGGGTCGGTTGTGGGCGAAAGGTGATGAGGCTCCGGTGACCGCGCCGGATCAATTTCCATGTTATTATCCATTGTGTTGGGCGACAACAAGCTCAGGACAACTGCAAATGTGGAGGAGGGGCGGAAGACTGGAGGGGGATGGTCTCGTGAGGCTGACCAGGGATTTTCTCGGTTGTGATGATGCGAGAATCCACAAAACAAGGGAAATATAATTGAATAAGAACAATATAAGCTTCAACGGACGAGAAAAAAAATTCGGATGCTGTGGGATGGATGAGAGACGAAAGTTGGGAGAAAAGCGACCTGGTAGTGTTGGTGTAGGGGAGGGATTGCTGTGCTGTGCTGTGCTCTGCTGGACGATGCCAGGAGGTGTCGGGCATGCGCCACACTTTGGCTCGTCCAAGCCACACCCTCTCTCCACGATCTCCAGGAACTTGAATCCCAACCAAGTTTTGGCTTCCTTGACGCCAAGAAGAGCGATTACATTGATATTATGAGAGAGTTCATTTTGAATTACTCGCAGATTGTAGATGCTTTGTTTATAGATTAATTTCATCATGCTATTTCGCATTCTGTCGTAAATTCAGCAAAGAGCACTACCGAGTCCATATTGTGTGCTCTTGTCAGCTACAAATGGCTTACTTGCTTAGCCGCGCGCCTAAATGATGTCACCGCCAAATCCTCCAAATCCTCCTCCAGAGCCTCCTCCAAACGGACCACGCCCTCGTCCGGAGGGCGCATCTCCCGGACCTACGGGATCATATCGAGATCCAGGGGGTGCTTGCGGATCGTAACCACCGTCTCGGCGACCACCGAACAAAGGGTCGTCAAATGTTGGGTGCATTCCGCCACCACCTCCCCCTCCAAGACCAGGGCCGACGCCTCCTCGAATAGGGTCATTCGGACCGAGACCGGCAGGATACAAATCTCTATCGCCAATACTCAAGGGATTACGGCCACCATTTCCCTGGGGATATCCTCGGGGAGGTCTGTAGATCTCATATTCGTCTTCAAATCCTGGGGGAGCAAAATCACCTGGGGGCGCCGGTCGACGAGGACCTGCCGCCAGGGGATCATCAAATGGATAAGGGCGTGCAGGCTGAGGCAGTGTATCATCCCTTAAGGGATCATATTGAGGTGGTCTTTCTTGTTGCCTTTCTCGTACGGCTTGAGCGGTATCTTCGTATCCTTCCTTATACAAGCCAGGAGCTAGCTTCAGAATCACGTTCATTTTGAACAGCCCAATTAAGTCATTCAGCCGCGCTTCGGAAATGAACACATCCCTTAGGGTCTTCGTCAAGTCGTCTGCGGATGTGATAGGAAAGGCAGACTCGGATATGTAGTCCTTAACTGGCAGATCAAATGAAGAGGTTCTGTCATCGCCTAGGGCCAGGGCAAGGACAACGGCATTATTTCCCAATCGACTGATCTTCAGCAAGAACTGCATGGAGGACTGTGAATGGGCATAGCGAAAGGCATATGTATCATTAGCATTCCATTCTGCGGGTAACGTCTGGTCTTCAGTCGAGCTTTCTGCTTACGAACGAGTACGTCAGCTATATGCGTCCAATGATACGACGATGAAGCTTATGTCACAAATAAATCTCTCGCAGACCTATAGTGTGCTCCTCTCCCAATCCGAGAAGCCTGAAATCGACTGCCTTCATACATGCATGACCGATGAGCGCAATAGCCTCGTAGGGTGTTTTGAGGCTAAGCTGACCCTCATTGTCTTTCCGAAGAGCCCTCGCAGCGTGGGCTAATACATTGTCAGAGTTGAGCGTGTTCATGCTTCCGGCCATTCGCTCAGCTGTGAAAGTCAAAGTATTTCAATAGAAAATACGTTTGTCTTACACAAAGGTAGGTCTGGTATATATAGTAGTGGCGAAGTACTGATGTAGGCATCAGCTCACCGCGTCAATAGTGACCGGAGCGACAAACGGACCGAAGATACTGACAAGGCTGACAGCTTGACAAGCAATAATTAGACAAATGATGCAAACACCCCACATTCACGTGCAAAATGATAAAAAGAAGCTCTACCATAGCCTGACACCTTACCCAATGTTGCCTAGCTCAATATGTGTCGTCCAAGTGCTTACGGAGCAGCATCAACTGACCGCAACGAAATGGATATATCCTTGGGAATCTCCAAGACGTACGAGCCATTGAATATCTATTTGAAGTCTACTGCTGAGATCTGATGGCGCTTATTGATTTCAGCCAGATATCGTGGTTGTATTATCGGTCCTGAACAAGTCTCTGAAATTTGGACAAGTTGGTAAATATATAAAAAGGCCAACACCTCGATTGCTCATTCTAGGTTTCTCTTAGGGAACTCTCTCAATCGAACATGATTGGTGATATAATTGTTGTTTCACTACGTCCTTTTCAAATTACTTTTCCTTGACACCTCGCCTTGTTCTATGAGAGTCAAAAGTCACACCTTCTGAAGTGCCTCCCCGCCTACGGAATGCCACGAGCTGGTTTGTCACCATCTATTCATCTTAATGCTGTGCAACCATAGCCAACCACTTTGATGTTAGGTACCGCTGCAGGCCCTGCATGCAAGACATGCCGGGAAAAGTGCCGCAAGTGTGACCGCGGTAGACCCAAGTGTCAACGTTGCATCTCAAAAGGCTTAGAATGCGGCGGTTACCCCGACCAGTACCGCTTTTGCGGAATCGCCAGTCGGGGAAGGTGGAAGGGTGCACGAGTGCCGACTCCAAGAAACACCAAAGTAAAATCCAGCGTTGCTGAGTCGCAGCAAGTCTCCACTACCGCAACACCGGGCTCGGATGCGCCTGAACGGACAGAGGGTGTGACAACGCAACTGTCTTCTAAGAAGCCTAGCAGAAGCGCAACAGAATTGCCAGACGACATTCCAAAGTTACTGAATCTCACCCAGACGGAGATTTTGTTATCGCATTGTAAGCTCTTATTGGCTGGATTTTGGAGGGCAGAAACACTGACGCCAGAGTGGCACAGATGAAAGCTTCATATGCCCGCATCAAATTGCTGAGATAGGTGATACTAGCAGTAATCCTTACCGAGCCTATATACTCCCGTTGGCGCGGAAACAAATTGGCTTGTTATATGCCATTCTTGGGCTCTCGGCCTCTCATCTTGGCAAACTTACAGGAGATATGTCTCTATATGAGGAGGCTGCAGTCGAGTATCGGCTGAGAGCCATACGCGCTCTCAGCGAGGAAATCAGGAAGAGTCAGGGACCTAATTTCCTGCATGAGGACGAGCAAGATGCTGTTCTCGCCATCATTCAGATTCTGCTACTACACGACGTAAGTCATGGTGAAAACCGCGTTGCCAGCCTTCTGACTAAGCTTAAAGATTGCTGAGACGGGTATCTCTACCCACGGAATACACATTACTGGGGCAATGTCAGTGTGCAAACAGCTACTATTAGCGGACGGGTTGAATAGTCGGCGACGACGAGCGGTCTTCTTCCTGGGAAATTTGGCCTGGTATTTGCAATCAGCGCCTGATTTAGCACCTCAGCTCACTGACTATCAAATTTTGTTCAGGCTTGACATCATTCGTGCCTTTGCTGGTCCTGAACGATTGTGCTTCACTCAGGACATTCGCGAAACCGTCGCCAGTACCACTGATGAAAAGTTCGAGCTAGTCAACGGATGCCCCAGGGAGATATTCCTGGTTATTGGTGCAGCCCTGGAAAAAGCAAAGGAATACAATCTCGGTTGGTTATCGTGGGACGAGTATCAAATTGCTTTGCAATCGGCAAAGCACAAGCTGTACTCGTTCGACAGGACAGCTAGAACATACCCCAGCTCTGATCCTCGGTGGATGTCCACAGCGGAGGCGTTTCAGTATGCTTGCATTCTGCGCATCCTTCGTTTGTTAAACCCATTACAGCAACCCCGAAGCAATGAGATACAGGAGTGCGTGGCGAGGATTTTAGACGCTACAGCGAGAATTCCCTCCGACTGTTGCCTCCTTGAGCTTCTTGTTTTCCCCCTGTTCATGGGTGGGTCGGATGCGCTTTCTCCTCACTCCCAATACTATGTCACCGCGCGCTTCAATGAGATTGAGCGTAGGTCTGAGTTCCGCAATCCGGTACCTCGAGAATTGTTGGAGAAGGTCTGGGCTGCGAGGGCTGCGCAAATCCCCGGCGATGATCAAAACATCTCCTGGACCACCTTCGTAAGCGACCGACGGACTTTTTAGTTCCCCTCCATTCCACAGGCCTCTGACTGATTACAGACTCATTCACCCGAACTGACACAGCAGCATGATTATCTGATTATATGACAGGGACGGTATGATTCACTCATCCGTCCAAGAATTAATGGATGCTCTTTTGATGGCTAATGCCTATGAAGGACAGAAATTGCTTTCTGGAACATGTTTTGGGAATTTCGAGAGTGGCCACCCTTCAATTTTTGCGGCTTCATTTGCGCTTGCTCCCGCAGTTGCCATAGCAAAGCCAATAGACTTGCAACTATCAACAGCTCCCGCTCGTTATCTTCCAACCCTGCTTGGTCTGGAAGAAGAAGCACACCTTCGCTAAAATCGTTTGGCAACCACACGTTGATTCCGATATGGTGGTAGATTGCTAGAATTTTCGGCTCTCGCACATTGTCTTCTGACAGTGCGCCGTCAAAAACATCTGACGCCGCACCGATTTCAACTAATGTGTATCGACGCAGACCATCTTCCTTGGGACGGACCTGCCATTGGACTATTCGCTTGTTGTTGTTCTTCCCTGGTAGCAGGAACGTGAAATAAGGATGGGGGATGCTATATTTTCCTCGAATGCTCGGTTGTATCGGGAAGGAGGCTTCCATGAGCGTGCAACACGCGTCAGTTCCTTTCTGACTGTTGCCGACAGCGATTAGACATCCGTCATGAGGCGGCCCACGCGTCAACCTATTCATCTCATCAGTCAAAATTACATCGAACGGTGGAGCCATTGCAAACAGCCTAGATGAATACATACGCATGCGCTATTGCCTCGCCATCCTCGAACAACGATCTCCGCTGCACTTGCAATCGGACAGGCGTGTCGTTTGTCGCGCTTCTGTCCAGGTTGACATGATAGGCCACTTCGCAGTTCATCCCATCGTCTCGCGGCTTCTCCATCATACTCAGTTGAACAGTGTACTGGCTGCTGTTGAGGACGCATCCCTTGACAGCATTGCGATACTGCTCCGCGACATCGTAAAGCGGGAGGTGCACTGTTGCTGAATTGTGACGAGGAAGATAAAGAACTCGAGTGAAATCCGGGGGCGGGTTTTGCGGTCGACGACCGAGCAAGGAATCGTAATATGCCGCACCAGAGACCTGCAACAGTTCCATTTTGTCCACTGTAGGAAGCAGAATATACAATTGAAATGCGCATATCCCATACAGATGAAGGGTGATCCCTGGTGCTTAAGTATCACATTCCATTCCCAACCCCACCAGAGTTGCATCCGCAGGGGGCCTCGAAGCTTGACACTCCGGTGGTACGTCAGTATGTCACATGGACAGTCAAAAACAATACACCTCATTCTTTCAAGCCCAAAGCATATCCACGCCTGTCGCCAAGACACGCCAACGGCATCTCGATGGGTAAGCTACTAATTGGAGTCCTGCGGCCAAGCATAAGCTCTTTACTCAAGCTGGCGGAAATTGCTCGCCGAGTGGCAGCGTTTTGCTCCAGTGCTCCACCCCATCTGTGGAGATCTCGGGATCGAAGCCTCAGGCCCACCCCGGAATTGACTGACCTTCCTGATCAGGCAATATCCCCAACTCGCCCTTCATCAATCAGTATATACAAAACGGACGCCTCACGCCCGACAGACGAGTCTTGTTGATATGACTCACATATTTCTCGGTCTCGGTCGCTCCGAGCAGCAAGTGTCCCTCGGTAGCATCTACTTTCAGATCATCTGGCCCTCATGAAATTTCCAATACGAACTGAGCCACGCGTTGACTATATTGAAGGCTACTGGTCCACCGAACATTTACCATAACTTTTCAAAATGATGGTGGATCTATTTCTGGATTGCTCATCGTGTGGGACAAGACTGGGTCCTGAGTATCAGGCCAATGAGCAGGAGAAAGAAAGACAAGAAGCACTGCAGTATCTGGTTGATTGAATGTCTAGCTTGACTGGTACAGGAGCTCAGTATCTAGAAAGAGGCAACGCTATCCGAGAACAAGAACAAGATGTATAATTACACATAAAATGAACGATAGAAGGCCAGACGGTGCAGGGCACATCTACAGCACCGCCTTGGGGAATTTCTTCATGGCCTGTCTCACGCCGAGGTCAGCCAGGATCTCCTCCGTGCCACCGAGGATGGCATCAAACTTGTATGTCCGGTGGAACATCTCGATGACCTTGCCCATCCCAGTCTGGGTGATTCCACGTCCGCCGAAGATATTCGTGGCGTGGTCCGCGATCTCCTGCGCGCAGCGGGTAGAGTGAGACTTGAGGAGGCCGATAGGACCGCCGAGGTGCGCGGCTTGCTGAGCATAGGTCATGTTGCACATCTGGTAAGCGATGGATTCCAACCAGGCCTGGTTGGATTCGCAGAGAGAGATCATTCGGGCAAGTCTAGCATCAAAGGTTAGCAACGTATAACTTATGGAAGCAAGCTAGAGGCGAAGAGAGAGAGAGTATACTTTTGACGCATGACAGGCTGCTCGATGAGCTTCTTTCCGAAGACAATGCGCTGGTTGCACCACTTCATGCACTCTTCGGTGACGGTCATGCACATGCGAATGACGGCGCAGACCATGGTGAAGCGCTCGTGGTTGAAGTTGC